GTGCGGGGCGGCTTGGTGCGGGGCGGCGTGATGCGGGACGGCGTGGTGCGGGGTGGCTTGGTGCGGGGCGGCGTGGAACGGGGTGGTGCGCGCGGTGCGGGGAGTCGCGCGGTGCGGCGAGGGCCGTTTGACGCCGCTTGCGGCTTTAATTTTTTCTTTTTTTCTTACTGTCCAACAAGATTGCACCGTGGCCCTGGTGTATCGGGCAGTGGTCTGAAGAAGAAGAAGAAGAAGAAGCAGAAGGAAATTCGATTCGCAGACGAGTCCCTTATATCATTTCAGAAGAGGAAACTCGAACTACAGATCCTGATGAGAAATCTCACTCTCAATGAGAAAAGGTTTGAACAAGGAATCACAAACAAAAAACAGAAGATACAAGTTTTAGGCCTCGTTTAGACGAAGACGCTACGCACACGCTGCAAAGCAATTAGCAAAAACAACCAACGTATAGATGGCAACGGAAAATGTGTAAATGTAGTTCTAACGCCCGGCCAGTAGGAGGCAGTGGAACTTTACAACACGACACGCGCGACCCCCAGCAGTTAACCGCTTCCTCAACAACATCCACAGCTTTGCGTGGTTTCGTTTGGCCGAAGGAGTAAAATTCTCCTCCGTGGATCTGTTCTGTTCCACTCTGGAGGCAGTTTCTCGATGCTTGCGTTTTCACGTCTCCATATAAACAGGAGGCCCCACGAAATAGAACCGTAGACTTATTCCATTATTCCTAGCTGTGGTATTCACGTCTACATGTAAACAGGAGGCCAAAGTTAAACGATACCCAACTCTACCGTTTTACAGTTGCAGCGTCCCCGTCTAAAGAGGTCTTAAGCCTGTGTACACTCGGTGCTGGTTACGTTTGCGGTTGCGCTGGACCTACATAGCCACAGTTGCTCATACACTCGCGCGTTCCCCCTGGGTAGTTTTGAAGAGAATGTTGTAATCCCACACCCAGCCGCGTGATGGCGATCTCACAGGAGTTGCCTGGGAAACCAAAGCGGCCCCATTTACGCTGCTACTTTCTCCTCTTCAGAACAAAAACTTTAGCAAACCAAGCTGTTTGAGATCATTACATGTGTTTCTACTGTAGGTTTATGTGACAGTTCTATGGACTCATTATTTCATAACTCATTTAACTGTGATGTTGTGAATAAAGACTCAGTTCTTGTTGGAAACATAGTTATTATTAAAGTGTATTCGTGCACAAACAGCAAAATAATAAGTGGTAAATGCAGGAGTGCAGGAGGAATGCGACAGACACAATGAGCTACAGCTAAGTTCAATATATGTTAGATATGCAACAGAACTCCAGTCCACAGTCTCCTGTATATCAGGCTCTGAGCCATGAGCCCAAACTGCTTTTCCTTCGGTCCCTTTGCAGCAATCTGCTCCGAAGTGCCTCGTCCACGTTCCCTCCAGCCGCTACATGCTGCCATCCAAAATAGGGATGTACCGATCCAGATTTTTTGTAATCCGATCCGATTCCGAAATTCTTAAATATTGTTTTGCCGATACCGATCCGATAAAAATGTTTCTAATATTTTCAAAGCATTAAAGATTTAGCATTTTTACCTGAATAAATAAGTTTGTCGTGTCGGCTAACACACGTTAGCCTTGTTTACAGTCACGGGGAATGAGGCTCGAGGAATATGTTCACAAGCAGTCTCCCCCATAGTTAGTCCTGGTGAAATCCTGGTTTAGTCCTGGTTTATCTCCTGTTTTGTGTCCCCATGATGGCTCTGTGCGGCCGCTCTCTGATAGCCGCACGGAGGAAAAAGTTCATCTCTTGCTTTCGCCGCATGCACCAGGTCTCTGTGTCCACTGCCTCTGTCCACTGCGTGTTTTTTCACACGACATTGAAAAACAATCTTTAGATCCATGTACGCATTGTGCGGTTGTTGTTTTTGCATTTCCCAGAAAGTTTTGCGGTTCACGCTTGGCTGTGATAGGTCGAGAAGCCTCTGCCTACATTTTTGAGGGAGCAGGGGTGGCTACGCAAGGGTCTTGCAGTGATCCTTGTGTTGGTCAAATGACGTCACCACCTTAAGCCCGCGCCATGCCACTATACACTAGGCTTTAGTTTAAGCTGAGCACCTCACATTAATTTACTAATTCCATTAAACTAATTCTATTTATTTGCTAGAGCTCCAAACAGGTTAAGTGGCTTTGCTGGATGGGTCCAATGCAGAATACACATTTTGTTACGGGGATCAATAAAGTTCTTATATACCTTTTATTATATTGTTACTCACAGTTTATATAAAGTCTTCCCATTTCATATAAACAGATTGATTGGTCAGCCCCATTGCCACCAGTAGATGGTAATGCTAAAATAATCTGCTCTTTTCGCACACATACATTGTTAGAAGTAAGAATTCATAATGATGTTGAGATTTCATGTTTTTTTTTCAATTCAATTTAATGTATATTTGTATAATCCTAAAGCACAACAGCTGTAGTCTCGGAGGACTTTATGAAGTTGTTGATATGCCCACACAGATCAGAGAATCAATATGTTCGAACTCTACAGTAAAATTCAGTGATAACAAACACATAGAGCCATTGGTCCATAGGGGGGTGGATTACCAACGTTCATAAATGTACATGAATGTCCTGGACCATCTTCACTCTGTTTTCTTTGTTGCAGGAGCGGCTGTGGCACCAGTGGACATTGCACTGGAGGGAATTGCACACCTCCAAAAACTGCTGTGGACGCAAAGACCGAGAACAAGACCACAAAAAAGTAATGGTTTGAAGCAGAGAAAAACACATAAGAGAACATTTATATTTACATTGGCTTGAGAGAAATAATTACAGCTTTTAAATATAAAGATGATATATATATATATATATATTAGGGCTGTCAAAATTATCGCGTTAACGCACGTTGATTAATTTTTCCATTATTCGCGATTGACGCATGCCCATGCATGCCATGATAGCACTCAGAATGCAGCGGACTCGTGTGTGTGTGTAAGGTGGTGACAGAGCAGGTCTCTGAATCCACGTTTATACCTAACCACGAGGCACTTTCTGCTGCTGTATGAACTCTGCGAGCTGCGGGCGCTCTGGACAGCAGTTCCTCTGGACAGCAGTTCCTCAGGGCAGCAGTTCCTCAGGGCAGTAAGTAAGTAAGCTTTATTTATATACCGCCTTTCACAGACCAGAGTCACAAAGCGGTTTACAATTGTTATTTTTTGGGCACTTGTCCTCTCACTCCACACAGAGATGGGAGCGGGGTCGCCGAACAGGAGGCGCATGCCAGACCTATTGTACATATTTTTAGTGGTAGGGGAAACCGGAGTACCCGGAGGAAACCTACGCAGACACGGGGAGAACATGCAAACTCCACTCAGAAAGGCCCTGGTCCGGCCGGGATTCGAACCCAGGACCTTCTTGCTGAGGGGCGAGAGTGCTATCCACTCAGCCACCGTGCCGCCCAACAGCAGCAGTTCCCTCCAGCGGCTGTGATCACGGAGAACGACGCCGCGTAACGTGATCATATCCAAGACCATACACCTACGGAACTATTCTGTGCTTGTAATGTGCGTGTATTTGCGTAACCGGTGCACACATAATATAGCCTGACTCTCGCCAGACCCATATAGTTCGCTGCACTTCACACATGAGTCTGGTACTGAGCCATAGTGGTTGGATTTCAGAAGGCAGGGCCTTGTAAAAAAATCTTTGTATGTGATTGGATAGACCACTTGTCCGTTATCTTGAATGAAGTCTGCTTTTAACCACTCACATCGAAGCACACGGCTCCCATAGGTTGCCAAATCCCAGCAAGATTTTCCAACCCAAAATCCGCGAGAAAACCCACAAAAAAAACACTCAGAATGATTTTTTGGCTAAAAACGTAATATAATCAACTTGGGCTGTCATGATTCTGTTTATTGTCTTTCTGTTTATTTAATACCTACAAGTCTCTTGGAAAAAAATATACGGGAACCACCAAACCTGGCAACCCTGCTGCATAGTGTGTAAACAGGAACACTGAACCAGTGCTTCAACCAAACTTTACAGGAACATTTGACTCTTAAAACACACATATATCAACATAGAACCATCTACATCTCGCCTCAAATTGCAGTAAAAGTGACATCCGTGTCTTAATTCGATCGTATTTACTCTTTTAAAAAGATTCGCGGACTTTACGTCCGCCATCTTGGATTCCTCTCGCTGCTGCATGAGAGAAGCTTGAGAAGGCAGTGCAAACCCCACGTAACACCGGCAATCCTGATTGGTCGATTAAAAAATAATCTGGGGAAAGGCGTTCGCTATGGCGTCGATACCAGACCCATGTGGTTCAGCCAAACGCCTCTGGTGGAGCATGGCGGAACTACAAGGGTCTGTCAGAGCCAGGCTACACATAATATATTTTCCATTCAAGCAACCATTTACAGAAAAGAAATTGCCTTATTTTGCCGATAGTTTGAAATGCGATTAATAAATTTTTAAGCTGTAATTAACTCAATTAAAAAATGTAATCGTTTGACAGCCCTGAGATATATATATATATATATATATATATATTAGGTATTAGATATAAATAAATATATATGAGATATGTCCATAAATGTCCTGGACCATCTTCACTCTGTTTTCTTTGTGGCAGGCGGGGCTGTGGCACTAGTGGACATTGCACTGGAGGGAACTGCACACCTCCGAACAACACTGCTGCTGACAAAAAAAGGAAACGCAAGAGAGAATGCAGCGAGACAACAGAAGTTCACAGGTTTGAAGCTAAACAAAACCAATTAAGAGAACATTTATGTTTATATTGGGTCAAGAGAAAAAGTAAAAGCCTTTAAAAGTCTTTCAATATCATTTTTGGTCCAATCAATTGAATAATTCTTTCCCAGATAGTGTCTTCATCTTTTTAATAGACCAGGCAGATAATTGGTCTCGAATATTGTGAATGTTTGGCCTTAGTTTCATCTCGGTGTTTGAGTCAGACATAAATCTTTTCTCTAACTGACTTTAGGAAGAGGAAGCTGATGAAAGAGAAGACGTTTTTCCCAGCGGTGGAGCAGGACTGGGACGACACCAGCGATGAATCCATGTACGTGAAGTGCACACACGCATCAACACTTACACACACACACACACACACAGATACACATACACATACACATACAAAACTAAGGTACGGCACCGTGGCGCAATGGTTAGAAATTCACTGCAAGAAGGTCCTGGGTTTGATTCCACCTCCATTGTTTGCATGTTCTCCCTGTTTCCTCTGGGTGCTCCGGTTTCCCCTATCACTAACCACATGTACAAGTCTGTAGGTCTGGCATGCGCCTCCTGTAAAGCGCTTCTATCCACGCCATTATCAAGAACTTCTGGGACAAACATGCACAGTCCCTGGTGGTGGCACGGGGATAGGGCAGACAGATAGCACTATTTACCCTTGATACTTGTTTCAACATACTTTCTACTCCTACTCATATTGAATTAGGTCATTTACATTTTTTGTAAACGCTGGAATACTTAACTTTTTGTTGTTGTTTCCGTATCACAGAAGAAGCTCATTAGCCCCATTAGCCCCAGTTGTTTGGGCTCATATATCAATTTACAAAGAAACATTATTTGTATGGTACTAAAATATATCTGGATTTTCAAAACACTACATTGTAAAGAGCATTTTTAAGCATTTGTCCTATTCAAACGTATCTGTATTATGTAGTGCGGCGAGAGTTTGCTAAAATTTGCAACCTGTTTTGGATTATGTTCTAGCCAGTGTGAGCAAAGCAATTAAGATTTTTTCATATACAGTATGACTCCCTGTTACATGTAAGTTTACTTCAGGATCCAGATTGAGAGCTTTGTGAATGGCCATACAGCCCTAACAGTCCAAACTCACCACCTCATTCAACTTCACACATGCACAGTGAGATTAGCAGCTTTGAATTCTGAGAAAACGTTTGAATAGGTGTCTGTCCCTACTTTGTCTCTCTGTGCAAGGTTTTCTTAGTTTTCCTCTACCTTTGCTTCCATCAGCGAGGAATGGAGGGACAGAGGGATCACAGTTTTTTAAATTACTGCTGCTTCAGTTTGAGCTCAATCTAATCAAATATTGCCTTTGTTTTTCTCTCAGTCTATCTCCTGAGAGGCAGGATTCCAGTCCAATCTCAGACCTAGACTCGCCAGGCCCGTCGTCGCTTTATGAGAGATCACAGAGGTTTGTTTCTTTACTGTCAGTTGATGTAAAACTCTTATAATTATGTTGTGCTTATCTGAGCTGGGGTCGGTTATGTTTAGTCGTTAGTCATTCAGATTCCTGTGATAAGAAAGGTTTTTCCATTATATTGATTTAGCTTGAAATGGAATGATCCTTGACTTCTGTGAATACGAGAGGATTTATTTCATTCAATTGAGAAAAGTTTGGTTGTAAATTCATGTCCTGATTTGAGCCATAAAGGCAAATATTTGATCTTGTTTTATTCTTCCTTTACAGATCCAGTAGCGTCAACCCTGAGGCAGAAGCAAGGTGTGAGAAACATTTGATCAAAAGTCACAATTATTTTGAAATGTGAACAATGATGAAGGAGGTGTCAGGTGTCCATTGAGTATAAATTAACCTAATAAATCTTTGTCTTTAGGTGGAAGTGGCTGAGGAATATCAGTCGGTCCCCGGTGAGCTGCTGGACCGGTGTGCTGCTGGACTCCAGCAGCTGGAAGACCAGCAGTGAGGAGGAAACCAGGTATGACTTGTACTTCTCATAGTTTTTAATTTGTTTGTTAAGTGGCCAAACACTATCACCTGAACATATAATATTTGTGTAGTGAGCTAAGCGTTGCATATTTCTTTGATGTACATCATAAACAATATAAGCATCTTTGAGTGTCCAAAAAAGTGCTGTCTAAGTTTGATGTATTAATATTATTAATGTTGGTCCCAGTATTGACCCTTGCGGTACCCCACAAGTTATGTCTCGACTTGTAGGGTGCCGGTACCTGTGTTGGTCAGTCTGCCCTCTGTCCTGGCTCAAATAAATAGCCAGGACAGAGGGCAGACTATGGCGTATGACTTGTCTTTGCAAGTCATACGCCATAGGCCATAACCGTACATTTTGATTAATTTATGTATTAACCTATATTTATCAAGTCCCACTGAGATTTCAGAATCTCTCTTTCCCAAAAAGAGAGTGGGGTGGGGGAGGTGTTACAGGGACAATTTGACATGTTTTTAATCAGTGTTAATTCAGTGATTAAGTCAATGTTAAAGTTTGTTTGCAGTTCCACGTCCAAATTTGAGTCACGAGAAAATAATTGCTCTTGTTTCTTTCTGCCTTTAGGAATATGATGAGGAGGCAGGCGAGTCTGTGCAGAAAATACTTGGAGAATGAAGCAAGGTGTGAGAAACACACATGCGCACACACACAGGCACACACACGCAAGTTTGAGTAATCATTTTTTGAACTCTATGTAGACCTGAAAATGCAGGGAAAAAAATAATGACTCAGGTTATCTATTTTGGCTCAACAAAATCTTCAAAAGCCACAAATATTTTTGTGTGTGAATAATGACATGAAAAGGGTTTGAAAGCTTTTTTTTTTTTTTTTTTACATAATATCACTTCTGTTCATTTTGTGTGTATTATGTCTGTCCTTATTGTGTCAAAGCTACCCCCTCTGTAGAGAGCAGCTAAAGACACATTTCTTTGCTCTGGCGTTTGAACTCAAGCTAAAATGAAACTTTTATGATAGTGGACGTGCATTTTATTTTTGCGCTTCATTTTATTTGTGTGTTGTGTAGTGTTTTGTAATGTCTGGAAAGCACTTTGTGACAGACACGTCTGTTTATTAAAATTACCTTCACCTTTGGCCTTAGGAGGAAGGAGCTGGTGACGAAGAAGAACACTCCGTATGTCTCCTGTGTGAAGCAGGACTCCAACAGCAGCAGTGAGCAAACCAGGTATACTCATTATTGTTTAATTTAAAATACCTGTGCTTCAGTTTGAACACAATCTAATCCAATGTTATCTTTGTTTTCATTCAGTCCTACCCCAGAGAAGCAGGAGTCCAGTCCGATTCCCGAGAAGCAGGAGTCCAGTCCGATTCCCGAGAAGCAGGAGTCCAGTCCGATTCCCGAGAAGCAGGAGTCCAGTCCGATTCCCGAGAAGCAGGAGTCCAGTCCGATTCCAGAGAAGCAGGAGTCCAGTCCGATTCCCGAGAAGCAGGAGTCCGGTCCGATTCCCGAGAAGCAGGAGTCCAGTCCGGCCCCGATCCCAGACCTAGACTGTCTCCCAGGCTCGTCATCGCTCCCACTCTGTGACCCTGAGAAATTACAGAGGTTTGTTTATTCACTGTCAGATGAGTTCAGAGTTTTGTTATATTTGTGTTGTGCTTATCTGAGCTGAGGACTGGTCAAATGTTTAGGCATCATAGTTAGTCATTCAGATTTCTGTTATAAGAAAAGCTTTAAGTAGGTTCTGACCGTCCAAATATTGTATATTTAGTTTGAAATGTGTAATCATTATAGATATGATCCTTGACTTGATGAGTAAATACAACACAGAAATAATACATTTCATTCAATGGAGAAAGGTTTGGTTGTACTTCCACGTCCAGGTTTGACTCATTCGAAAATCTGTGTCTTGTTTCTTTCTGCTTTTAGGATAATGAGGCGGTGGAAGAAGGGAGGGATGAGGCGGAAGACTCCTGCTGATCGACCTGTGGATCAGGAGTCCAGCAACAAATCCAGACTGAGGAGGGTCCAGACCAAGGCAAAAGCAAGGTGTGACAAATACACACACACACACACACACACAAACACACACACGTGTACACACACACAGGGTTTGAAGATAAAAGCAACTCAACTTTATTGAGATAATTGATCAGAGGCTGTGTAATGAATTATTCAAAATTAATTGCATTTAATTACGTATTATTCGGTCTGTGAACAGTAAGAAGTATTTTTTTTCAATGACTCAAAAGAGACGCATAAGCAACAAAATGTTATACTTTTGTCAAACCGAGTCTAACAGACCAGTGCACCTTACTCCAATAAGTGTAGCATTAGCATATTTAGAAATATAATATATTTTGCAGGCTCTTATCTTCCACCAGTAGAAGTGTTCTACAGTCGAGTGCAATCCAGTGAGCCCGGCCACTGGTTATTTGTTCAGACATGGGCTTAGTTCCTCTGGTCCTTAAAGCAGTCACCTGGTGGAGTGTGGCTTGGATGTGGGTCTTTGTACTCAGGCTAACGTTCATGCTAGCTGCTCTATGTTTAGCATCGAGGTGATACTTGATGTGCTGTGGTTATATGCAAACACAACCATACTTATATCGACGCTTCCATCCGTTCAATCTTATAACATTTCCCATTGGTCCGGTGAAACTCATCCCATGCAGAAAGGTTCCGCCTTGTAGCATGTTGTTTATGTGTAATTAATTCCTCCAATGAATGCGTTAAAGTTCTGACACTAATTATATCACTTCTGTTCAATGTGTGTGTCTCATGTCTTCAGGAGGAAGAAGCTGGTGAAGGAGACTCCGCATGTGCCGTGTGTGAAGCAGGACTCCAACAGCAATACAAGCGGCTGTGAGCAGGAAACAAGGTATATGACTCTTTAATGTTTTATTTAAAATACTTGTGCTTCAGTTTGAACACAATCTAATCCAATATTATCTTTGGTTTCATTCAGTCCGATTCCAGAGAAGCAGGAGTCCAGTCCGATTCCAGAGAAGCAGGAGTCCAGTCCGATTCCCGAGAAGCAGGAGTCCGGTCCGGCCCCGATCCCAGACCTAGACTGTCTCCCAGGCTCGTCATCGCTCCCACTCTGTGACCCTGAGAAATTACAGAGGTTTGTTTATTCACTCTCAGATGAGTTCAGAGTTTTGTTATATTTGTGTTGTGCTTATCTGAGCTGGGGACTGGTCAAATGTTTAGGCATCATAGTTAGTCATTCAGATTTCTGTTATAAGAAAGCTTTAAGTAGGTTCTGACCGTCCAAATATTGAATATTTAGTTTGAAATGTGTAATCATTATAGATATGATCCTTGACTTGATGAGTAAATACAACACAGAAATAATACATTTCATTCAATGGAGAAAGGTTTGGTTGTACTTCCACGTCCAGGTTTGACTCATTAGAAAATCTGTGTCTTGTTTCTTTCTGCTTTTAGGATAATGAGGCGGTGGAAGAAGGGAGGGATGAGGCGGAGGACTCCTGCTGATCGACCTGTGGATCAGGAGTCCAGCAACAAATCCAGACTGAGGAGGGTCCAGACCAAGGCAAAAGCAAGGTGTGAGAAATACACACACACACACAAGTGTACATGCACACACACACACAAACACACACCCATGTGTACACCCACACACACACAGACACAAGTTTGATGTATACGTTTTTGAACCTTACAGAGACCTAAACATGCTCCGAAGACATTCTAAGACTCAGATAATCTATTTCTCATATGGCTTCAGTATGAAATGTAAATATTGAGATTTTTATTGTTGAAGGTTTTTAGTTTAGTTTAGTTTATTTATTTATGATGACAGGGACAGTGTACAATAAACATGAACCTCAAAGGGAGAGATGGATTGTACCAGGTTATAGCTCAAGAGCTAATTTCCACCTGTAGTCTCTGTGCAATCTTATAACATTTCCCATTGGTCCGTTATATGCAAACAGGGCTTTCAAAATTATCACGTTGACGCACGTTAATTTTTTTCATTAATCGCGGTACAAAAATTAACGCATTTGACGCATGCCCTTGCGTCCCATAATAAAACTCAGAATGCCGCGGACACATGCGTGTGTAAGATGGGGAGAGAGCAGGTAGGCCCTCTGAGAAATCCAAGTTTTGAAAGAATACACGCGTGACCGCGGGGCACTTGTTGTTTCCTGTATGAACTCTGCATGATGAGCTGCGGGCGCGACAGCGCTCTGGACAGCAGTTCCCACTTCCAGCGGCTGTGATCACGGCGAACGGCGCTGCGTAATGGGATCATATCCAAGACCACGCACAGAACTATTACAGAACTATTCTCTAGTGTGCGTACGTGTCTTTGCGTAACCTATGCACACAATATCTACAGCGCAGAAGCTGGACTGCGGAGCCTCAGTCTCCTCCGTGTCTTCTCCCAAAGCGCACTCGCTAAATTAAAGCTGATACCTAATTTTCCCTTCCACTACCAGTTCATGTTGGTTGTTCCAAAAAAAGTAATGGTGTGAGCAAATCAAACAGATTGAATGACATGCTGCACTATTTTGAAATGAGTCTAAACAGAAAGACAGAATGTTAACAATGTTACAGTAATTCCATTTTATATGGATTTATTGTTATAACATTCAAACAAGTTTGCCAATAGTTTGAAATGCGATTAATTACGATTAATTAATTTTTAAGCTGTAATTAACTCGTTTGACAGCCCTAATGCAAACACAACCACACTTATATCGACGCTTCCATCCGTTCAATCTTATAACATTTACCATTTATGTGTAATTAAATCCTCCAATGAATGCGTTAAAGTCCTGACACTAATTACATCACTTCTGTTCAATGTGTGTGTCTCATGTCTTCAGGAGGAAGAAGCTGGTGAAGAAGACTCCGCAGGTGCCGTGTGTGAAGCAGGACTCCAACAGCAATACAAGCGGCTGTGAGCAGGAAACAAGGTATATCAAATCAATCAATCAATCAAATTTTATTTATAAAGCGCTTTTCATACAAAAAGTGTAACACAAAGTGCTTTACAGTTTAGTTAAAAACAATCCAACATGCCCAGCCCTAAACCCTCCTCCCCACAGACCCCCCAAAACCACATTTATAATTATATATACAATACACACACCCACACACACACACGCACACACACACACACACACACACAGGTATATGACTCTTTAATGTTTTATTTAAAATACTTGTGCTTCAGTTTGAACACAATCTAATCCAATATTATCTTTGGTTTCATCCAGTCCGATTCCCGAGAAGCAGGAGTCCAGTCCGATTCCAGAGAAGCAGGAGTCCAGTCCGATTCCCGAGAAGCAGGAGTCCAGTCCGATTCCCGAGAAGCAGGAGTCCAGTCCGGCCCCGATCCCAGACCTAGACTGTCTCCCAGGCTCGTCATCGCTCCCACTCTTTGACCCTGAGAAATTACAGAGGTTTGTTTATTCACTGTCAGATGAGTTCAGAGTTTTATTATGTTTGTCTTGTGCTTATCTGAGCTGGGGACTGGTCAAATGTTTAGGCATCATAGTTAGTCATTCAGATTTCTGTTATAAGAAAAGCTTTAAGTAATTGTCTCCCAAAGTGGGGTCCAGGGGGCCGCGAGAGGTCATAAAAAAAAAAGTGTTATATAATTATTTTATTTTAAATTAACAATATTTTGTTTGTAATATTACAATATTTATGTTTATTATTTGACTTGAATCATCAAATTGTTATAATTTGTGTATTACAAAGTGGGGATGGTCATTTACACGTTTGTAGCAGAGGCAATATCCCCCAGATAAAATAACGATAAGAGCCTATTTTTAACGTTGTCTTCTTGGTTATTATTTCGGGGGGCCGCGCTGACCCGCCAGATTTTTAAGGGGGCCCCGGTTTTACTGACTTGGGGAATGGCTGCTTTAAGTAGGTTTTGACCGTCCAAATATTGAATATTTAGTTTGAAATGTGTAATCATTATAGATATGATCCTTGACTTGATGAGTAAATACAACACAGAAATAATACATTTCATTCAATGGAGAAAGGTTTGGTCGTACTTCCACGTCCAGGTTTGACTCATTAGAAAATCTGTGTCTTGTTTCTTTCTGCTTTTAGGATAATGAGGCGGTGGAAGAAGGGAGGGATGAGGCGGAAGACTCCTGCTGATCGACCTGTGGATCAGGAGTCCAGCAACAAATCCAGACTGAGGAGGGTCCAGACCAAGGCAAAAGCAAGGTGTGAGAAATACACACACAAACACACACCCATGTGTACACCCACACACACACAGACACAAGTTTGATGTATACGTTTTTGAACCTTACAGAGACCTAAACATGCTCCGAAGACATTCTAAGACTCAGATAATCTATTTCTCATATGGCTTCAGTATGAAATGTAAATATCGAGATTTTTATTGTTGAAGGTTTTTAGTTTAGTTTAGTTTATTTATTTAAGATGACAGGGACAGTGTACAATAAACATGAACCTCAAAGGGAGAGATGGATTGTACCAGGTTATAGCTCAAGAGCTAATTTCCACCTGTAGTCTCTGTGCAGGCTGATGTTATATTACATTAAAATAACAGACATTCATGTACAGTATGTACGATTTACATTTGGTCAAATAATAAGTCTTCACATGCACAATTTATTTTGATTAATTTTCATGAGTCACAAATATTTTGTTATGCAAATAATTACATAAAAAGTGTTTGAAGATAAAAGCTACTCAACTTTATTGAGATAATTGATCAGAGGCTGTGTAATGAATTATTCAGAATTAATTGCATTTAATTACGTATTATTCGGTCTGTGAACAGTAAGAAGTATTTTTTTTCAATGACTCAAAAGAGACGCATAAGCAACAAAGTGTTATACTTTTGTCAAACCGAGTCTAACAGACCAGTGCACCTTACTCCAATAAGTGTAGCATTAGCATATTTAGAAATATAATATATTTTGCAGGCTCTTATCTTCCACCAGTAGAAGTGTTCTACAGTCGAGTGCAATCTAGTGAGCCTGGCCACTGGTTATTTGTTCAGACATGGGCTTAGTTCCTCTGGTCCTTAAAGCAGTCACCTGGTGGAGTGTGGCTTGGATGTTGGTCTTTGCACTGAGGCTAACGTTCATGCTAGCTGCTCTATGTTTAGCATCGAGGTGATACTCGATGTGCTGTGGTTATATGCAAACACTACCATACTTATATCAACGCTTCCATCCGTTCAATCTTATAACATTTCCCATTGGTCCGCTGAAACTCATCCCATGCAGAAAGGTTCCGCCTTGTAGCATGTTGTTTATGTGTAATTAATTCCTCCAATGAATGCGTTAAAGTTCTGACACTAATTATATCACTTCTGTTCAATGTGTGTGTCTCATGTCTTCAGGAGGAAGAAGCTGGTGAAGGAGACTCCGCATGTGCCGTGTGTGAAGCAGGACTCCAACAGCAATACAAGCGGCTGTGAGCAGGAAACAAGGTATATGACTCTTTAATGTTTTATTTAAAATACTTGTGCTTCAGTTTGAACACAATCTAATCCAATATTATCTTTGGTTTCATTCAGTCCGATTCCAGAGAAGCAGGAGTCCAGTCCGATTCCAGAGAAGCAGGAGTCCAGTCCGATTCCCGAGAAGCAGGCGTCCAGTCCGATTCCCGAGAAGCAGGAGTCCAGTCCGGCCCCGATCCCAGACCTAGACTGTCTCCCAGGCTCGTCATCGCTCCCACTCTGTGACCCTGAGAAATTACAGAGGTTTGTTTATTCACTCTCAGATGAGTTCAGAGTTTTGTTATATTTGTGTTGTGCTTATCTGAGCTGGGGACTAGTCAAATGTTTAGGCATCATAGTTAGTCATTCAGATTTCTGTTATAAGAAAAGCTTTAAGTAGGTTCTGACCGTCCAAATATTGTATATTTAGTTTGAAATGTGTAATCATTATAGATATGATCCTTGACTTGATGAGTAAATACAACACAGAAATAATACATTTCATTCAATGGAGAAAGGTTTGGTCGTACTTCCACGTCCAGGTTTGACTCATTAGAAAATCTGTGTCTTGTTTCTTTCTGCTTTTAGGATAATGAGGCGGTGGAAGAAGGGAGGGATGAGGCGGAGGACTCCTGCTGATCGACCTGTGGATCAGGAGTCCAGCAACAAATCCAGAGTGAGGAGGGTCCAGACCAAGGCAAAAGCAAGGTGTGAGAAATACACACACACACACACACACAAGTGTACATGCACACACACACACAAACACACACCCATGTGTACACCCACACACACACAGACACAAGTTTGATGTATACGTTTTTGAACCTTACAGAGACCTAAACATGCTCCGAAGACATTCTAAGACTCAGATAATCTATTTCTCATATGGCTTCAGTATGAAATGTAAATATTGAGATTTTTATTGTTGAAGGTTTTTAGTTTAGTTTAGTTTATTTATTTATGATGACAGGGACAGTGTACAATAAACATGAACCTCAAAGGGAGAGATGGATTGTACCAGGTTATGCTCAAGAGCTAATTTCCACCTGTAGTCTCTGTGCAATCTTATAACATTTCCCATTGGTCCGTTATATGCAAACTAGGGCTTTCAAAATTATCACGTTGACGCACGTTAATTTTTTTCATTAATCGCGGTACAAAAATTAACGCATTTGACGCATGCCCTTGCGTCCCATAATAAAACTCAGAATGCCGCGGACACATGCGTGTGTAAGATGGGGAGAGAGCAGGTAGGCCCTCTGAGAAATCCAAGTTTTGAAAGAATACACGCGTGACCGCGGGGCACTTGTTGTTTCCTGTATGAACTCTGCATGATGAGCTGCGGGCGCGACAGCGCTCTGGACAGCAGTTCCCACTTCCAGCGGCTGTGATCACGGCGAACGGCGCTGCGTAATGGGATCATATCCAAGACCACGCACAGAACTATTACAGAACTATTCTCTAGTGTGCGTACGTGTCTTTGCGTAACCTATGCACACAATATCTACAGCGCAGAAGCTGGACTGCGGAGCCTCAGTCTCCTCCGTGTCTTCTCCCAAAGCGCACTCGCTAAATTAAAGCTGATACCTAATTTTCCCTTCCACTACCAGTTCATGTTGGTTGTTCCAAAAAAAGTAATGGTGTGAGCAAATCAAACAGATTGAATGACATGCTGCACTATTTTGAAATGAGTCTAAACAGAAAGACAGAATGTTAACAATGTTACAGTAATTCCATTTTATATGGATTTATTGTTATAACATTCAAACAAGTTTGCCAATAGTTTGAAATGCGATTAATTACGATTAATTAATTTTTAAGCTGTAATTAACTCGTTTGACAGCCCTAATGCAAACACAACCACACTTATATCGACGCTTCCATCCGTTCAATCTTATAACATTTACCATTTATGTGTAATTAAATCCTCCAATGAATGCGTTAAAGTCCTGACACTAATTACATCACTTCTGTTCAATGTGTGTGTCTCATGTCTTCAGGAGGAAGAAGCTGGTGAAGAAGACTCCGCAGGTGCCGTGTGTGAAGCAGGACTCCAACAGCAATACAAGCGGCTGTGAGCAGGAAACAAGGTATATGACTCTTTAATGTTTTATTTAAAATACTTGTGCTTCAGTTTGAACACAATCTAATCCAATATTATCTTTGGTTTCATTCAGTCCGATTCCAGAGAAGCAGGAGTCCAGTCCGATTCTCGAGAAGCAGGAGTCCAGTCCGATTCCAGAGAAGCAGGAGTCCGGTCCGGTTTCTACCCTGGTTCCGACCCCAGACCTAGACTGTCTCCCAGGCTCGTCATCGCTCCCAGTCTGTGAACCTGAGAAATCACAGAGGTTTGTTTATTCACTGTCAGATGATGTCCGTGTTTTCTTATGTTTGTGTTGTGCTTATCCGAGCTGGGGACTGGTCAAATGTTTAGGCATCATAGTTTGACTTAAAGTAGGTTTTGAGCTTCCAAATATTGAATATTTAGTTTGAAATTCTTAATCATCATAGAAATAATCCTTGACTTCTTGACTAAATGCAACACAGAGAAAATACATTTAATTTAATGGAGAAAATGTTGGTCGTACTTCCACATCCTGGTTTGACTCATTAGAAAATCTGTCTCTTGTTACTTTCTGCCTTTAGGATGATGAGGCGGGGGAAGAGGCGGGGGACTCCTTATGATCGACCTGTGGATCAGGAGTCCAGCTCCAAATCCAGAAAGAGGAGTGTCGAGACCAAGGCGAAAGCGAGGTGTGAGAAATACACATGCACATACACAAGCGCGCACACACTTATGCATGCACACACACACACACGCAACCTAAGCTATCCATGCTGAGAAGGTCATTCACCTGGACTTTCTTGTTGTGATGCATAAGCGCTAACCACTGCGCCACAATTACATCACTTCTGTTCAATATGTGTGTATTATGTCTGTCTTTAGGAGGACGAATCTGGGGAAGGAGACTCAGTAAGACCCTGTGTGAAGCAGGACTCCAAGAGCAGCACCAGCAGCAGTGAGAAGAAAACCTGGCGTATAACTCATATACCAGGTTTCCTTTCACACAGGGTCTTACTGAAGGAGACTCAGTAAGACCCTGTGTCAAGCAGGACTCCAAGAGCAGCACCAGCAGCAGTGAGAAGAAAACCTGGCGTATAACTCATATACCAGGTTTCCTTTCACACAGGGTCTTACTGAAGGAGACTCAGTAAGACCCTGTGTCAAGCAGGACTCCAAGAGCAGCACCAGCAGCAGTGAGAAGAAAACCTGGCGTATAACTCATATACCAGGTTTCCTTTCACACAGGGTCTTACTGAAGGAGACTCAGTAAGACCCTGTGTCAAGCAGGACTCCAAGAGCAGCACAGCAGTGAGAAAGAAAGATGGTACATGACTGATATTGTGTTTTTTTCTGTGCTTCAGTTTGATCACTATCTAATCAAGTATTTTCTTTGGTTTCATTCAGTCCGATTCCTGAGGAGTAGGGGTCCAGTTCAATCCTGACCCTGGTCCCGATCCTAGTCCCGTCACCAACCAGTGTCCGTGAAGCAGCATCCTGTAGACAGAGGTTTGTTCATTTGTGATAGATGTCCTCTCCTCAGCAGGTTCACACCAGGAAGAATGGGAAAGCACTCAATCACTGACTACTTAATTAAAAGTCTAAACCAGGTCTGGACCAGGTGTGAACAATTCCGGACCAGGACTGGCTTCTCCACACATCCACAGCACCATACAAGGACATACAAAGTACCTCATGAATGAGATCTGCATAAACATGAGGCCATTCTCAGTGGGTTTGACAGCTGAACTGAGGGGAGAGGATTTATAATCATTTATAACACCAACACCAAACATTTAGCTTTTCCAATCAGCATAAAAAGGCAATAGTGTTACCACAAAGTGTTTTTATTACACATTTTCAAATCTTCATTGAGCACAATAATAATAATAATGCATCGGTTTTATGTAGCGACACACAAAAACACCAACCATTCACACCAGATTCATATAGACAATGTGGGTGAAGTGTCTTGCCTAAGGACACAACAACAGTTTTGCACTTTACAGCTGCCCCACTGTGGCACCTGGTGTTCCTACAGATCTCCCATCACAGTACTAACCACGCCCTGTCCTGCTTAGCTTCAGAAGTCTGACAGGATCGGGCTTTCACATGCAGGTATGGCCAGATTCCATTGGACCTTTGCTTCTTAAAGAAGCTATACCCAATTTTTAGTTGTTCATAAAAATGCTTTTTACTACATACAAGTTGTATTATAATCCATAATTTAATTGAAAACTTGAGGTCATTGATTCAGCGATGCATGAGTTACAGCCGTGAAAAGTGCTGAGTGGAGTCTTAGCGGGACGCTCGTTCTCCACTCACAGAACAAGCAGCGACCGGCCTGCGTCCTCTAGCCTCTACAGCGCTGCTTAACACCAGGGCTTCGACTTCGAATGTAATTCTAAAATAAAAATAAAAATATATATTCGAACAAATATTAGACAGCCCTTATAATTCAAAATGTATTTGATGACTGAAAATAAAATAGTTACCTCCCAAAGGTTTCATCGGGACGTGCTAGGCAGGTAACAGCTAAGCTAGCTAGTTCAAAAACTCCCTGGAACTACATGAAAACTGAACAAAGAATTCTGAACATCAGCGGTGAGTTACCCATTTATATACCGAACCTAAATCCATCAGATCCTCTTCAAATGTGTCCTAAAATGTTCGTTTCATGTTAATGGTTACTTCCGGGTTTTTCGCGATCGCTTTTTGTCACATTAAAATAGTAATTTTGTCATGAAAACGTTAACAACAAATTCTGAAATTGTCCGTGCATGTGTGTTAAGGATGTATATGTTTACTGTATTGTCTGATTAACGTTTAATGGTGTTGATTGATTGATATGTAGTTGTTTATTGAGCGTGGCTAACTCCCCTAGCTCCGCTAGGGTTAGAGGGAGCAGAGAAGCTGCACAATGTAGTGACAGGCGCTGATAGCTTGTACTTGCGGAGTAATGTTAGTATTTTACACACCTGAATTACAAACAGAGATTGCATTGTCAAAGGGCAGCGGCATTATTGATTTGAGAGTTCTGTTTTCAAGAAAAATGATCGGTAGAATTCATTCAAGTCAATGGAGTGTTCTACTGCTGCTGTGAGGAGCTGTATAATAAATTATAATTAAATATTCAAATATATTCTAATGTTAAATGAATACATTCGGACGCGAAACTAGCGGTATTCTTTTACTTATATATTGTGTTAGCAGTGCGTTGCTTTAGTACCATTTCATCAGTGATTGTTGTACAGCTTACAAGAAGTTGCGCTAATGCTAATGTTAGCATACGTATCAGATCGCAAATTGGGCTAGATGGCTCTGTGGGATGAGAGCGTAGGGGAAATGAGAAGCCATTGAGCGAGTTGGGGGCGGTGCTAAACATTCAAACCTTGCAGAAACGGGTATAGCGACTTTAAAGTGGTTCTCACCCCCGCTCCTCGGAGCTTACGTCACTCACATTTTCTGTTCAAATCTTCCTCTAAATGGGCGTAGCCTGGAGGACTAAAGGGGGCGTGAACGAGACTGGGCCGTTTACATTGCTCTGGGCGGGGGCTGCTGACGTCAGGTCCAACTTGCAGACGTCAGGTCTTGCTGCCGCGCCAGTTTTGGCGCCAGATTCAAAATTCACATGTAGTAATACAGGTCGCCAGCAGATGGCGCCTCACAGACGGTTTTAGGCAGAAAGGTTAACTTTCAACTAAAAGTGACAAAATTATGACCAGGATATGTAGACAACACTATTGGACACTCATTTATACCGTTTATCAGCAAAAAAAAGTGGATTTGAGGGTGAGTTGTTCTTTAAGTAAATTGGCGCCTGCCCTCAACTGAAATAGACATCTGGAACATGAACAAAACCCTTTTCACAATTCTAGTGAAAGAATTATAAATAAGGAACCATATGCTTCCACCCTGACTGGTTTAAACAGCAGCAGGTGTAGGACGATCATGAAGACATGTGGCTTTTTATGAGCTCACTTCCCCCCAGCCGCACGCTCACGTAGCCCCACACTGACTTGGAGGTAAACACACAGCGTGGCGTTCACCAGCTCATAGCGGCACATCAGACCTGAGAATACACTTTTTTTCCACCAATGGCGATCTGTCACTAGCCTGACTCTTGCCAGACCCTTGTAGTTCCGCCATGCTCCACCAGATGCGTTTGGCTGAACACAAGGGTCTGGGGTCGAGCGCACTGTCAACTCTTTCAGGAGATACAGAAAATAATTGGCCAATCTGGATCACCGGTGTAACCTCGGGTTTGCATCACCTTCTCGTGCGTGTCTCACGCGGCAGCAAAAGCAATCCAAGATGGCGGACATAAAGTCCGTGAATTTAAAAAAAAGTTTAAATTAGGGCTGTCAAAATTATCGCGTCAGCTCACGTTAATTGCATTTTTCATTAACGGGTAAAAAAAAACCAAAACGCATTAACGCATATCCGAATGACCCGCCAATTTATCCATAATATCACTCAGAGCCGCGCACACAGAACAGAGCAGGCCTCTGGGAATTCAATTTTAAAAGAATACACGCGTGACCACAGGGCTACAGTCTATGAACTGAAGTCCGCCTCCCGGGGCACACCCCGGGGCAGCCGCGGCCGCTCTGGTTGTTAGCGGCTGTGAGCCGCTCACAACAACACGGTAAACGGCGCTGCGGTAATGTGAACATATAAGACCATACACGCCACAGGACTATTCTCTGCATGTTGTGTTCGTGTCTTTGCAACCTGTGCGTAACCTCTGCACGCAAATACCGTGTCTCCTCTTGAAAACTAAACTAAACTTGCAAAATTAAAGCTGGGGTACGTACATTTTCCTCTTTCATTAACAGCTAATTTTGGTTGTGCCCAAAAGTAAAAGGTTGTGAGCAAATCTAACAGATGTAAGTACATTTGGTATGAATGACAATGTGTCATTATATTTGATAATCTCATTTAACTTCAATTGGAGTGGATTTGAAATAGAATGTTAAAGATGCGATTAATCGTGAGTTAACTCACCATTACTATGCGATTAATCGACTGACAGCCCTAGTTTAAATACGAACAAATTAAGACACAGTTGTCACTTTTAATGGGATATGAGGCGAGATATTGATGAATTATGTTGGCCCACGTTATTTGCCAGAAAATCATTCTGGGTGTTTTTTTTGTGGCATTCTCGCGGGGTTTGGGCTGGATAATCTTTCCGGCATTTGGCAACCCATGGGAGTCGAGTGCTTCGATGTGAGCAGTTTAAGGAAAACGTCATTCAAGGACTTTTTTTTACAAGGCCCCGCCTTCTGAAATTCATCCGCTATGAAGCAAATCGAGACCCTTGTGTGAAGCTCAGCAAACTACAAGAGTCTGGCGAGTGTCAAGCATTGTCCCTGATAAATTTAATATTTATTATTAATCTTTATTAAGGACACAGTACAATACGGTCCATAGTTAAAAAAAAAAATACAATACATACAGTATATTGCACACAGCATCATATTATTTATTATTATTATTATTATTCCAGAGCAGGCAGCGGCCCAGAGGGAGGACCAGAGCCCGGCCCAGAGGGAGGACCAGAGCCCGGACCAGAGGACGGACCAGAGGACGGACCAGAGGACGGACCAGAGGACGGACCAGAGGACGAACCAGAGGACGAACCAGAGGACGAACCAGAGGACGAACCAGAGGACGAACCAGAGGACGAACCAGAGGACGGACCAGAGGAAGGACCAGACCCCAGACAAGATCCCTGGCAAGACGACAGATCTAAGCAAGGGCGTAAAACACAAAGTAAGTCTGCAGTCATGATGGCAAATTACTACTGCACCACAGTCACACGATCAATTTAAAAATCCCTTTATGTTCCCAGTAAAAAAAGATCAGACTTTATTCTGAAGAGAAAGGAGGTTGTCCATAAAAATCTGGTGATGCAAAATGAGGGATCACACAAGCATGTGATGTGTAAGATGTATTTTTAAATAAAACCCAGCTGTAAGCTAGTCACTGCAAGCGGGGGTCCCCATACGTCAGAAAAAGGACACATGCGGCACAACTCGACGGCCAGGCTAACGCGACAGAACACTGGTCAGAAGGAAGTCATGTGATCTTGTTTCTTTCTGCTTTCAGGAGATGACAGACCTGTGGATCAAGAGCACAACCACAGAAAAGAGGAGCATTGAGTCTGAGGCCCCTTTGAGACGGAGACGCTGCAGAGACGCTTCAAAGCAATTAGCAAAATGACCAGGCTCTTTATTTGAAGTGCACAGCATCAACACAACGATGGAAAATAATGTAGTTCTAGTGCCCGGCCAGTAGGGGGCAATGGAACTTTACAACATTACACACGTGACCCCCAGCAGTTAACCACTACCTCAACAACATCCTCCTAAATTCGATGCAGAATGATGCACCAACATCATTCTGCATCGAATACTGTCTGCCAAAATGGAAAAAACTACAGCTTTGCATGGTTTCGTTTGGACGAACGAACGAGTTCTCCTGTACTCGCCGCTGTTGAAGAATCAGAATCAGATTCAATTTATTGCCATTTGCAGAAAAAAACAACATTGGAATACAAACAGGAGACACCGGGGGCACCGACACCACAAACACCACATTGTTGTTTGTTCTCGGCTCGAAGGCAGAGAATTCACACCTTTCTTTTCACACAGCTGTGAAACAGCCCCCGCCGAGCAGTGCATCTGTTTTGTTCTACTCTGGAGGCAGTTTCTCAATGCTAGCGTTTTCACATGAAACACCCGATTCATGTAAACCGAAACCAAACTCTAGCATTTTACTGTTGCAGCGTCTGCGTGTATGTGCGTGGGTGTGTGTGTTTGTGTGTGTGTGTCAGACCTTGCTTCTGCCTCAGGTGCTGTTTACATGAGGACGCTGCATCAGTAAAACGTATCGAGTTGAGTTTCGGTTTGGCATTTAGTTTATATGGAGACAATGTTTCAGGTGAGAATGCAAGCGTTAAGAAACTGCCTCCAGAGTAGAACAGAACAGATACACTGCTCAGCGGGGGCTGTTTCACAGCTGTGTGAAGAGAAAGGTGTGAATTCTCTGCCTGCTTTGACCTTTCCACTTCCTCACACGTACAGTTGGACATGCGCAGTAGCGGAGAACAAGCGTAAACAACAATGGCGGTGGATCATCTAATGCTAACATGTGCTTTGAGCAAAGAATTCTACTCCTTCGTCCAAACGAAACCACGCAAAGCTGTAGTTTCAGTCTCCATTTCCGCTGCTTCTGTTAAATGCAGAATGATGTGGGTTGCGTGTGTCGTGTTGTGAAGTTCCACTGCCCCTACTGGCCGGGCGTTAGAACTACATTGTTTTCTGTCGTGTAAACGCTGGGCACTTGGAATAAGTCGAAGCCCGGTCGCCGTCTCTGCAGCGTGGCTCAGGAGCTGTGGATCTGAGGCCAAGGTGTGAGAAACACACACATGCACACACACACACACACAAGTAAATATGAAGTATAGGAACCATAGACTGTAAATATGAAGTTTAGGGAGGTAGATCCATCTAAACTGCAAGTGAATAAATACAGAGTTGCTAAAAGTTGGCACAGAATAAAGCCAAGCCAAGTTTGTATAGTTTGCACAGAAACAAAATTATAGTACAATTTCAAAAATTACCAACATTTTGAGCTTTCAGAATCTTATATATATATATATATACTTTTTAATTTATTAACAGAAACACCACCCATTCACTAGTCCACCATTTTACTGGCAATATTATACCACTTGAACTGCTCGACTCTTCAACTCGACAGAACACCGGTCAGAAGGAAGTCATGTGATCTTGTTTCTTTCTGCTTTCAGGAGATGACAGACCACAGAAAAGAGGAGCATTGAGTCTAAAGCCTAGTGTATACTCGCGCAGCGTGGAGCTCACGGAGGTGACGTGACGTCACTTGCGCAACGCGTTGGTCACCGCAAGGCCCTTACGTTGCCTGCCGCGCAGCATCGAAATTTCCTATCTACGTAAGGATCGCCGCAAGGAAGCTCCGCTGTGATTGGTCCGTGTGTGTGTTTTGGGCGCAAGCATGAAGCGGCTGCAGCAGGGACAATGGACGAGGCACTTCGGAGCAGACTGCTTTGTGCTTCGAAGGAAACAAAGGAAAAGCAGTTTGGGCTCAGAGCCTGATATACGCGGAGACTGTGGACTAGAGTTCTGTTGCATATCTAACATAACTTATAAACTGTGCAGTTGTTTGTTTTGCACTGTTCCTGTCTTGTTTGAATCTGGACTCGTAGCTTCTCGCGTCTGTTGCATTCCTCCTGCTCTTGTAAATCGTTCATGTTTTCCTCAGATATTTACCACTTATTGTTTTGCTGTTTGTGCTGAATACTATTTAATAATAACTGTTTCCAACAAGAACTGTGTCTTTATTCACAACATCACAGTTAAAGTAGCAGTATGTGATATTTGCATGTCAAGTCATCATTAAATGGCGCCCATATTTCAAAGGCGTTATTAAATCATGCTCTTTTCGAATACATCTTTAACTGAAAACAGTACTTCAGCCGAGATATTTGATTATCAAAATTAGTTTTACGACCCGTAAAAGTTGTTATTGTTTTGATTTTGATGTCCTGCCCTCCGCCGTTTCGCCAATCAGGAAGTGTCATGTAAGTCCGTGATCGAGTTGCCAGAACTCCGCACGGCTCACTAATCTCAGTGGTAAAATAACATGTGGCGCAGAACTAAAAAAGGTCTTGTTATGACTCTCAAATCATTAATGACAAAACAAACACTAAAACGAGGATTTATATCGGGACGCCTTTGAACAATTGAGACGGCTGATAAGTTTTCGTGTGATGCAAAATTTGCTGCTTTTATTCCGTTCTTCAGAGTAGTATTTTCATTGCATTGTATTTATCGCATGTTATCACATTCTATGACAGATTGCTCTAAATACGGTAAAAGACGAAGGTCAAGACGTTTTTTTGCAGAATATAGCTTAATTGTAAAAAGAATCATTTAAGACCACATGTACCCAATTAAAATAATGTTAGTCTCTGTTTAATGTGGGACTTATGGGAAGGGTGATATCCTCTGGAGCAAACCCTGATGTTGATACGCTGAAGAAATACGTTCCAACGTCCATTCTTCCCACTCCTATTTTGGACATCAATTGCTTATTTATTTTGGATAATCTATAATTACATTGCTTTTGTTTTGTGTTTTTTATCTCAAATGTCCAAATAAGAAATAAAAATAACCATTCATTCAACATTAGCATGCCTCATGGCAATGTGAATGGAGACGGACAAACAACTAAAATAATTCCTTGTGTTTGCTGCTGGGTTTGGTGTGTATCTGGCAACCTGAGTCAGGGAGAGTGGGAGAGGGCTACAAAATATTGACTGTGACTGCAGTACCACGTTTGCCCAGATTTTTACATATTGTTCCTTTAAATGCCATCCATCCATCCATCTTCTTCCCTTTAATCCATTTCTGGGTCAGGGGGGTGGCAGTCAGAGATGCCACCCAAGTCTCATAGCACCAGCCCCTCACTGACCCTCTGCAGGTGGTGAGTCCACAGGAGGACGGCTGCTCTCTGAGTGTGAGCATAGCCTTGATCTTTCAGTGGGGGCTTTGGGCAAAGTGGGGTTAAGTGTCTTGCCCAAGGACACAACGACAGCAGTCATCAGTGGGAGTCGGTGGAGAAGGTGTCGAGGTGTTCCTTTAAATGAGTTAAGAAATAATGAGTCCATGGAACTATCACATAAACCTTCAGTAGAAACACATGTAATGATCTCAAACAGCTCGGTTTGTTGTTTTTGTTCTGAAGAGGAGAAAGAAGCAGCGTAAATAAGACCGCTTTGATTTCTCATGCAACTCCTGTGAGATTGCCATCATGTGGTTGGTTGTGGAATTACAACATTCTCCTCAAAACTTTGCAAGGAGTATAAACACAAAAATGCTTGCGTAGGTCCACCGCAACCGCTAACGTAAGCCGCGCAAGTATGGATGGCTGACTGAACCTGAGTGCGTGCTGCAGATCCAGGAATTAAGCAATAACTGGGCCAGTTACTACTGTTACTTAGTGGATTTGACTGTGAAGTTAAGAACCAGACATCTCATCTACTCACAAAAGTAACGTTTGAATCATATCAGCTTCCAAAATGACTGATACACGCCAGAAGAAAGCTGAGGAGGCCGCGGATCCAACGCTCAAGCATATCCTGGACGCAATTTTACAGACTAAACAAGACATCTATGCACAGATTGACGCACAACTTGCGCCAATTAAATCCAGCATTGATACATTTCAAGACTCAATGACCATGATGTGCAATCAAATGAAAGAACTTGAGCAAAGAGAGAGTGCGAATGAGGATAAGATTGAGGATCTGACCAAACGTATGAAGTTGGTTGAAAAAGAAAACTCTTACCTCCGGGACAAAATTGACGATGCAGAAAACAGGAGCCGCGCTTGTAATCTTCGGTTCGTCAATATCCCCGAAAAGTCGGAAGGCAGTGATGGAATTGCATTTATGAACCAGTTAATCCCGCAACTCCTGGGCGAGGACATTTTTGACACAGCTGTCCCCATTGAGAGGGCACATTGTTCCCCTACCACTGCGCGTGGAAGCGACACCAAGCCACGGACCTTCTTGGTGAAGTTTCTGAATTTCCAGGACAAGATCCTGTTGTCAAAAAAGATTTGACTGACGTGTTCAAAGTTTGATACAGAAAACAGACGAAGATATCCAAGTTTAACATCTGTATTTAATTTATCTTTACAATCAGATATATTCAACAAGAGAGCTCCTAAACTAGCCATGTCCCTCGCTGGCCCTGGGCTGACTCTCAGCCCCCTCCTCAAGCCAGAGCATATCAGGAGAGGTCCAGGAAGAAGGGGGCGTGTCGTATCAGGCAGCTTCCGGTCTGAGATCCGCCTCCGCACCATCTGGCCTCCTCTGTCTCGCCAGACCTAAACAGAAATCATTCACACACACTACCCCTCCCTAATTCTATAGAAATATTACTTCCTTGAGATAAGACAGGAGACTCTCAAGGCTGTCCCTGCAGATTCTGGGTCCATCTCCTTCTCCAAACAACGGAAAGGATTAGCAGAATCAGATCTTGCCCCCCCCCCCCCCAGATTAACTATCATTAACTCATATTCTGCACTTTGGACTACTAAGAGGAAGGGAGAC